AGGGAAGGCTTCTCGATGTATCTGGGCAGTCAGCTTCCCTGTTGGAATACTTTGTCTATTTATGTGGCCTGCTTATTGCCTTCTCTTTGCAAACAACTTGGGAGGGTTTATCCTGTGTTTCCCTTGAGCGTCATGTACCTATCCATGACTATGCTATTCCTGTCTTATGAAGTGGTAGAATATCTGCCTGTCAGAAGATGACCTGCAATGAAAAGTCATGTCCAAAGCAAAGTTTGCTCCTCTGATCAAGAATGTGATCTGATCCAATTCCATGCTTTTTGGATGTGTCTGTAATAGCAGTTGGGAGACGTGGCAATCAGTGACCATAGAAATCAGACACATGGGTTATCCAGCACAAATTAGATAATTACTCCTCACTCCATAGGCCCTAACTCAGTCAGTTAATTTAACTTAAGAAAAATGAGATAAATCCAACAATTCAGTCAGTATTTGTTATCTTAATATGTACTACTTTATGAAAATGACTATATGTTGGTTAACATTCTAAGCAATTAATTAATTATAGAGATTCATCTATAGCAAAAAATTTAATGAATGTTTTATTTGCTAGGCTCCCTGATGTAGTGATATATTCAGAAAATGATGTGATGTGAAAACAGAAGGAATCAGTGTATGTATTTTTCTTCAAGAAAGATAGTGTCTATTTTCTATCAATTTTATATTCCAGGGAAGTTGGAGCCATATTTGAGAATATTATAGGACTGAGCATTGGATGGAAGTGGCCAAAGCTTTTCTATATATTTTTAATTTATATAGGTGAATCCCTACTAAAAACAGGAACTTCAGTGCTAATTCTGGCTATATTTAATTAACATAATCAATAAACATTTATGGTAGCTGAAAAGTTGTAAGGGTGGATATGTTGAGTTGGGGGGAGAGCATCAGAAGGTACCTGACATGGAAGCATGATATTCCTAGAGTCGACTCCAAGCAGAACAATTTATGGTTTAAAAAAAAAAGTTAGCTGAAAAGTCTGAGACCTCTATAAAGGGAAGAGTTTATTACTCTGCCCTGTAGCCTTCAAATCAGGGGGAGAGGCAAATGAGAGTCCTGAGGAGGTATTGAGCATCAAAGCTGAATCAATCTCCATGTTGATGAGATTTCAGGTGATGAGTTGATGGGAAATGAAACTATGAATAAATGACCTAGTTAGGACATGTACCTAGCCTGCTGCTTGCAAAATATGTCTCTAGGTACAGGAGACAAAGCTTTAGATTTTTGTTTCTTTCTTCCTATTGGGTTGGCAACAGGAGTATCCAAAATTTTATTTATAATAGTGCATTTCGTGAAAAACACTTGCAGACAAATACTAAGCATGGTAATGACACTAGAAATGAATTTAATATATACATACTGTTGACAAAAATGTTTTGAGTGCAGGGCTGTTTCTGTCTTTGTTTCCCATTAGTCTAATATGGTACCTTGGAAGGTAGTAAGAATTTCACAAGCATTTGTAAAATTGTTTAATTAAATTCTGTAGCTCTTCTGGAGAGATATCCAATTAAACAAGTAAGGTGTACATTTTTAAGCCAGTATAGCTGTATTCATTTGCTAATCCAGTCTTTTATTTTAATAAGACTTACTGATGCTTTTTATTTTTGTATCATAGCTATTTTCAGATATTCCCACATACCTCCCAAACCACCCAGGAACACACACACATATACACAGATACATATGAACATGCACACATACACTCACATTTCATAGAAACTTATTTTGTAATTAAGAAAGGAAAAAATTAAAACAAAGTATAACTATCACAGTAGCCACATCTTATAGTGTATGCACCATTCTACCCTAATAGTCCCCTCATTTTTACCAAAAAGAGTGAGTTTTTTTATAATCTATTCTCTGGGAACAAATTGACCATGACAGTAATTTAGAGTTATATTTTAGGGGAAATCATTTCTTTTATATCATTATAATAATTGCGCTTATTGTTCTTTTAATTTTGCTGGCTTTACATCATTTCAAATGATTTTTCCATGTTTCTCCTAATTCTCCTAATTCCTCACACGATAAAATTATCATGTGGCCAACTGTTGTTTTTGTTTTTACCCATTCCCCAACTCGTGGACACCCACTTTGTTTCCGTATTTTTTGTTACCATATAAAGGGGTTTCTGTGAACATTTTTGTAATTATTAAGCCTTTCAAAAATATCACATATTGATAAATATCTCAATTTACTCAGAAGAATTCTACTCAAGAGAGAAACTTTCCAAAGAGACTAGTGGGTCCCTAGTTAATTCTACCCTCCAAAGCATCATTAGGATTCAATCTACTCTAATCAATGCTCATGAGTTTACTCCAAATCCCATGAGTTTCTCCTCTTTAGAATAATTGTTATTAAATTGCTTCATTTCATATCTGTGGCAAAACAACTTATCTTTTAATTCAGATACTTGAAATACTGAAAAATATCCAATAGAAAATAGCATAAAATCTGGCCGTCATTTTTACTTCAAGGCCGAAAATGCCCTCTTCTGACCTTCAGGCTGGAGTCTATCATCCCACATTCACCATTCAACTTCTCTATAATGTCAGAAAAACCCAGAAAATTTCCTGTCTTCTCATTAAAACCTCTGTCTCTTAACCCTTTGGGAAAGGCAACAACTCATTTAGTCATGCAGAATATTAGAGAGATTTCTTGAAGTTTGGAATGTGCTGTGTTTCACAGAATGTCTCCAAGATTCCTAAGAATTTTGACTTCCCCTTATGATTAGCTCTGCATGCTATTCTCCCTGTTCCCATGTTATCTATCTTTACCTATCACTTCTACTGGAGAGTCTGGATTCAGTAGGAATAATTCAGTAGGATAATTACAACACTTTCCAGGATTGGACAGTTTTCACCAGAGGCATATAGGCTATAGTGATCGTTTGTCTTAGGACAGAGGTATGTCCTTATGGTGGATACTTACCACATTGACCATGGGAAATCAAATTTAGAATCCTTTTACAAGAAAATACACTTTTTCCATTCCCCCAAAGCCTCCTGGGAGATGTAATTCAGCGTGGTTCCTTAACTACCTTGACATGGGTCTTCCCCAAAGCCTTGGGAGGTACACAGGTCTATTATATTAATATAATGGACAATAAATGCAAATGTAGACACCACAATGTCATAGGGAAATTTTGCCTGAAGAAGATGAGATTCCATATGTAATATGTAATTTTTAGATACATTCTTTTGAATGCACTTTATAATTGCTCATTTCAATGAAAGGCAGCTTGGTGTAGTGGATAGGTTGATGGACATGAAAGAAGGAAGGAAGAAAAGAAGGAAGAAATGAAGAAGGGAGGAAGGGATGGGGTAGAAAAGGAAGGAAGTACACATTTATTAAGCACCTACTTATGTCAGACATAGTGCTAAGCCCCTTACAGATATTATCTCATTTGATCATCACAACAGCCCTGGGAGGTACTATTATTCTTCTCTTCTTTTACATTTGAAGAAATCAAGGTAGATAGGCTACATGACTTGCCCAGGGTCACATAGCTAATAAATGTCTGAGGTCTGATTTGAACTTAAGTCTTCCTGACTCCAAACCCAACACTCTGTTCACTATATCACTTAGAATCTGTGTCTGACATGGATTCAAATCTTTTCTGTGAAACCCCAAGTCATTTAATCTCTGTGTAATTCAAAGAATTCTCAAAGATTATAAGTGACAGATGGATTACTATCAGCATTAAAGGAGGAAATTCCATGATGAATTGATTGATTATGAACAAATTGATCTAGCTTGGAGGCTTATGGCCCACTGGAAAGAGTAATTGATTTGGAGTGATTGGACTTGGGTTTCAATCCTAGCTCTTTCATTTATGAATTATGGAACATTTGGCAAGTCATTTAACCTCTATGGCCCTATATATATTCATATATAAAATAATGAGGCAGTTCCTGATGATCTCTGAGATCAAGGCTAGCTCTAAATCTATGATCCTATGATCAAATGTAGAATTAACTATAGGCATCCTCTCAAAGGTTCTATAAGGCCATTCTGTAGAATTATTCAGTTTTCTAGCCATTAATGAATAGAACATATATTTTCTGGATCCAAATTTGTAATATCTTATTATAAGTGGGAATAGAACAAATTCATATCCTTCAGTAGATAATTAGTGTGTATAAAATGTACATAATAGTTCTTTCAATTGGATTTATTTCTTTACCACATATCCTTTATTTTACAATATTCCTAGGAAACTAAAAGGGATTGTTATTAGCTTCATTTTATACAACGAAAAATTGAGAATGAAAAAATAAAGCTCTTATGCCTTCCTCCTCCGAATCTTCTCTTCTCCAGGCTAAAATGCCCAATTCCTTCATCTGATTCTTATATGATATGGATTCATATCTTCTTTTTTCCTGATTGGCCCCCTCTGGACATTTTCAAGTTCATCAGTGTATTTGTTAAAACATGGTCTAGTCATGGTTCTTATCCCAACAAGTCTCATTGATACCCATGAGGTCAAATTTACCTTCTTTCATTACAACCTCTATTTTCTCTTCTTTATTGAATAAACTTTTGACAATTGGGTATAGAGATTTGAGGCCATGGATTTTACTGCTGGTTCCTTTCTTCTTTTTAGCTTCCTGTGAACTTCAGTGCCTCAATTTTTATTCTTCTATTTATTCTTCCATAACCACAGTGCCATAAATGAAGTTCAGTCTTCTCAGTCGAAAATGTAGTGTCCTTTCCCCTGAATCTTCAAATCACGTAAAGTAAAACTTAAGGTGAAAAGTCTTAAAACATTAAAAAAAAGTAGACTTTGTCGAGCATTCAAAATTTTACCACAGTGAAAGATTTGTTGTTGTTTTTTTCTTTGTAAAGATATGGAGGGGATGAAATTGGAGTAATTATTTCTCTATTATGAAAGTGGTTATTTCCTTGTGGGTTTTGTTTCTTTTTGCATTTGAAAAACATAATCTTCTTTTAATAACCATTTAAAAACATTTTTCCTCCCTCAGGTTTACCAGAACCAAATAAAGACAGCATATTCCAAGGACTAAGTATGGACCAGGGATTTTACACATCAAAAGACTTTTTACCACTGGTGGCCAAGGCAAGCAAACCAGGTAGAACAAGCTTATTGTTTGTTACTATGAAAGTAGATAGATAGAAGCTATTTTTAATTTCTTATAATATGTATTATCTACTTCTGTTCAAATGCAGCTCATCATTTTATGGATTGGATATACTCATTGTCAAATCTTAATATTAAAATAATACCTTAATATTAAAATAATAGATAACATTTATATAGTACCTTAAGGTTGCACATTGATAAACAAATGTTGTCTTACATGACCCATCCATCAACCCTATTATTATGTCAATTTTATGTATAGGGGAGTAGAGGCTGGGAGCTGAAGTGATTTACCCAGGGTCACACAGTTTGTAAGGGTATGAGAGGATTTGAACACAGAGCTTCCTGACTTAAATTCTAACAGTCTCCACTATACCACCTTGCTGCCAGTAAAATAACAGATAAAGCAAAAATAACTGAGTTCAACTGCTCAACAGGAATGACTAGTCTTCTATCCTTTGAATAGCATTATGCCTAGGTTGAACTCCAGTAAAAGCCATATCTTTATAACAGCATGAGAAATTTAACGTTCAGCATGAGACTGTTTTCTGATGAAGGACAATGAAATTGAGTTTTCCTGTGAGAGCTAATTTTTTTTAGTGACTCACAGAATGTGTGAGCTCAAGGATCCTTCAGTCCAACGCCTCCTTATTTTACAAAGGAAGAAACGAACCCAGAAGTTAAGTAATTTGCTTAGATTTACATGCTAGCTACTGGAGGTATTTAACAATAGGACAGATTACTATCTGTCTGAAATGGTTTCAGGGAAGGATTCAAGGTCTCTACCACTCCTATGGTTTTATGAATTTCAAGGTAAAGGACAGAGATAATAACTTCCAGAAGCCAAGGTGGTGGAGTAAGCAGTAAATCATCAAACTCTTCCATATTCTGCTCCAAACAATCATAAAATAGCACCCCAAAGCAAATCTTGGAACAGCAGAACCAGAAAAAGATGGGGTGAAACAATCTTTTAGCCCAAGAAACTTGGAATATCAGCAAGAAAGGTCTGTCTCACTCAGGTAAAAGGGGAACACAGTTCAGGATAGGAAGCAAGCTGTCAGCAAGTTCCACCTCAGCAAACCAGAGGGAGATCCTGAGCCCCAGTGCAGTAGAGTAGGTAAATGCCAACAGCAGCCCCCCATGCTTCAGCATAAGCAGGGGAATGGACAGACTCCAGCTCTCAGAATTATCACATGCTTAAGCATAGTCCTGGCCAAACAGATAGCTAGGTGGCAGACTGCAGAATGCTTCAGTATAACCCTGGGGAAACACAGAAGAGCCCCACTAGCTTCAGCACACCCCAGATACAAGCACAAGGACCCTGGCCCAGCACCAGGAAAGCTGCCAGACTCCTATGCCCTCCAGCAGTGCCAGCCACCCCCAACATTACCTCCTAAGTGCAGCATCAGACATGATGGTCCTCCATGGGCCTCAGGGCATCATCAATGCAGCACCAGGTAAATAGGCAGGGCTTGCAGTCTCTGGCACAAGAAGCCTGAGACAGTGCCCCTTCCACCATGGGAGCAGAGCTCAAATTTAAAAGAAAGGGAAAAGGCCAAAAAAGATGAGTAAAAAACAATAAAGAAAGAATCTGGCCATAGAAAGTTATTATGGTGACAGGGAAGAAAAACACAGACTCAGAAGAGGACAATAATTTCAAATAACCTATGGGCAAAACCCCAAAGAAAAAAGAGAAGTTATCTCAAGCCAAGAAATAACTCATGGGAGAGCTAAAAAAGAAACTTTAAAATCATAAAAGAGAGGTAGAAGAAAAATTGGGAAAAGAAATGAGAGTGATGCAAGAGAACTATGAAAAAGAGTCAATAGCTTGGAAAAAAAGAAAACAACTGCTTAAAAAGTAGAATTGGGCAAGTGGAAGCTAATGATTATGAGACATCAAGAATCAATCAAACAAATTAAAAAGAATGAAGAAAATAGAAAATAGAAAATACCTCATGGGAAAAAAAAACTGACCTGTAAAATAGAGCCAAGGGGGACAATATCAGAATCACTGAACTGCCTGAAAACTATAATGAAAAAGGAGAACTTGGACAGCCTCTTTCAAGAAATTATCAAGGAAAATTGTCCTTATATCCTGGAACCAGAGGGTAAAATAGTCATTGAAAGAATCCACAGATCTCCTAAGGAAAGAGATCCCAAAATAAAAATTCCAATGAATATTATAGTCAAGTTTCAGAACTATCAGGTCAAAGTAAAAATACTTCAAGAGACCAAAAAGAATTCAAATATCAGGGAGCCACAATCAATATTACACAGCACTTAGCAACTGCAATGTTCAAATATCAGAAGTCATGAAATATGATATTCCAGAAGGCAAAGGAACTAGGACTACAACCAAGAATCACCTACTGGGCAAAATTAAATATAATACTTTGAGGGGGAAAAATGGCCATGCAATGAAATAGAAGGATTTTAAGCTTTCCTAAGGAGAAGACCAGAATTGAATAAAAAATTCAATTTCCAATATCAAGACCCAAGAGAAGCCTAAAAAAGTAAAAAGGGAAAAGAAAACATAAGGGGTTCAGTGGAGCTAAACTGTTTACATCTCTACATGGGAAAATGATACTTGTAATTCTTAAAAATTGTACCCATAATAGTACAACTAGAAGAAATATATATAAATAGAGAGTATATTGGTGTAAGGTAAATTTTAGGGAATGACATTAAAAAATAATTAAAGTATGAGAAAGAAGAGTACAGTGGGTGGAGAAGGAAAGTAGAGGCAGAATGGGATAAATTGTTCCAAATGAAGGGTCATGAAAAACCTATTACAGTAGAGAGAAAGATGGTAGAATGGATGATGGGCATCACTTGAACGTTACTGTCATCAGTAGTGGCTCAGAGAGGAAATAATATACACAATCCGTTGAATGTAGAAATCTATCTTACCAGATAGGAAAGTCGGAGGGGAGGAGATTCAGTAGAGGGTGGAGGTGACTGACAGAAGAGAGGGCAGACCTGGGGAAGAGGTAGACAGAAGCAGAGCACTGTTGAGGAGAGAAGGGGTGAAAGGAGAGAGGACAAACAGGAGGAAAAATAGGATGGAGGGAAATATACAGTCAGTAATCATAACTGTGAATGAGATGAACTCTCCCATAAAACAAAGCGAATAGCCGAGTAGATAAAAAACCAGAATCCTTACAATATGTTGTTTACAAGAAACACTTAAAGCAGAAACACACACACACAGAGTAAAGGAAAGGGGCTAGAGCAGAATCTATTATGCTTCAGCTGAAGTAAAAAAAAAAAATTAGGGATAGCAATCCTAATCTCAGACAAAGCAGAAACTTAAAGTAGACCTAATTAAAAGAGATAAGGAGAGAAACTACATCCTGCTAAAAGGTACCAAAGACGATGAAGTAATATCATTACTAAACATGTATTCACCAAGTGGTATAGCATCCAAATTCTTAAAGAAGTTAAGTGAGTTACATATTCATGACCAAACAAGAGATAGAGAACATTATAAAAAGTAAAATAGATAGTTTTGATTATATTAAATTTAAAAAAGCTTTTGTACAAACAAAACCAATGCACCCAAGATTAGAAGGATAGCAGAAAGCTAGGAAGCAATCTTTACAGCAAGAGTCTCAGATAAAGGTCTCATTTCTCAAATATATAGAGAATTGAGTTAAATTTATAAGAATAAAAGCCATTCTCCTATTGATAAATGGTCAGAGGATATAAATAGGCAGTTTTCAGATGAAGAAATCAAAGCTATCTATAGGCATATGAAGAAGTGCTCTAAATCACTTGATTAGAGAAATGCAAATTAAATCAACCGTGAGGTACCACCTCATAACTATCAGGTTGGCTAATATGAGAAAAAAGGAAAATGATAAACGTTGAAGTGGAAATAGGAAAATTGGGATACGAATATACAATTGCTGGAGTTGTGAACTGATCCAGCCATTCTGGAGAGTGATTTGGAATTATGCCCAAAGGGCAACCAAACTATGCATACCCTTTGATCCAGCAATACCACTACTAGGTCTATATCCCAAAGAAATCATTAAAAAGGGAAAAGGACCCACATGTGCAAAAATATTCATACCTGCCCTTTCTGTGGTGGCAAAATATTCAAAATTGAGGGGATGCCATCAGTTGGGGAATGGCTGAACAAACAGTGGTATATGATTGTAATGGAATAATATTGTGCAATAAGAAATGATGAACAGGCAGATTTCAGAAAAAACCTGGAAATAATTGTACAAACTGATGCAGAGTGAAGTGAGCAGAACCAGGAAAACATTAGACACAGTACCAGCAACGTTGTGTGATGATCAGCTGTGAATGACTCAGTTCTTCTCAGCAACACAATTATCCAAGACAAGTACAAAAAATTCATGAAGGAAAATGCCATCCACATCCAGATAAAGAACTGATCGACCCTGAATGCATATCAAAGCATACTTTTTTCACTTACTTTATTCTTTTTCATGGTTTTTCCTTTTTGATCTGTTTCTTCTTTCACAGCTGTGACTAATATGGAAATATGTTTTGCATGATAGCACATGTATAACCTATATCAAATTGCCTACCATTTTAGGAAGAGGGGAGGGGAGAGAGATAAAGAAAAATTTGGAGATCAAAATCTTATAAAAATGAATGTTAAAAATTGTCTTGACATGTAATTGGGAAAAAATTAAATATTATTAAAAAAAAACCAAAAGATCATTGGTTAAAAAAAGAAGACAAACCATTGAAAGGGGAAAAAGGAACATCTACAACACTATCTTGGATTACAACAACAACATCAACAAAAATAAAATAAAAGCACTTCCTCTTTAAAAAAAATACAGATATTCTCTTGCTAGCTAGTCCTAAAGTGATATCACTTCATAAAACAAAAAATAAGACATTATAAAAGATGTGGTTGACCTTGTCTAGAGCATGACTAGAGTAATTATATTGTGACCAGTAAGCCCTCATTTTAAAAAATAACTGAACAACTTAAAAACTTTACTTTCTTTGAGTCTAAATAACTTTTACAGGAGGTAGAGCTTAAATATCCTAAGATATATACTAAAAACACACTTTAATGCCAGGACCCAGAGACAAATACCTAAGTAGGGGTAGGTAGGACCACATCTGATATATTACAGACATCATTTAAGGAAAGGAGATTCTATATTTGGATGCTTTTACTATAGATATTCTCAAACTATGAATTTTTTATTCCCCCAGCAAAATTCCCAGTAGAAACTGCTATATGTGTTTCTTCAACCCTTACTGTGAAAATTCACAGTGGACGCAACAAAAATTTGAGAATTATACAGTGGTGATTGTTTGATCTCAAATACAAACTCTTCTGAGCAAAATGATTACATTTATTGAAATTATGGGTTTAAACTCTCCATGCTGCCATTCCTAAAATTACTATAATTTATCTAATCAGCTGTTAGTTGTATTTAACTCAATATAAAGTGCTATCTAATATACAGAAACCACCTGCATTTTACCTTTTTTTTCCCTCTCTTCCATGAGAATCTCTCTAGGAATACAAAATCTTCAAAATCGATGCTGTTTGCAAGTGGACACATTGGAATTCATAATTCCTTTACTTTGCTTTTTAATGAGAGAAAACCCATATAGGTTGTATGATTTGTTTTTACTTTCTGACAATTTACTTAGGAGAACAATTTCAAGAAAATAGTTGTCACACGTTCAGTTATAAAGCATGTGACTCATAAGGGCAATTATATAAATGGAACTTACTGAGGCTATTGGATCTTTTTGGCAGTTTACTAAACTTAATACAAGGAGAGACTGATGTAGTTAAATAGTCTCTCTAGACAATATCAAAATCAAAGGCTTTTGTAAACAACCAAGGATCATTTTTTCCCCAAACGTAAGGACAATTTGTCATTTGCCAAACAAAGATATAATGAAGCCAATTATAAGACTATGAATCAGAACCTGAAAGAGTGTAGTTTTAATTGGTTGATTCCAGTTTGACTTAGCCTCAAACCTTTAAAATGTAATTTAGTCCATGACCCTCTAAAAGGAAAAGAGAGAAGTCACCTCTGCTAGGTGTAGTGACTATGAAATTACATATATGAGCATATTTTTAAAATGGGAATAAAACTGTCTTTCAGTGAAGCAGAATAATTTGATAGTGACACTCCATCCTTGGAAACTGCAAGATGCAATTTTACACTGCTTTGAGTACAAGTATCTTTTGAGCTGTCATGCAGAAATGGTTTTTCTACTTGAAAATGGGGTTTTCCTTTCATCATTCAGGAATGTGTGCCTGTCACTCCCCATTGCCATCGATACAGGGAGCTGTGATTGTACTTGGCGCTGGAGACACTGCTTTTGACTGTGCAACATCTGCTTTACGGTGTGGAGCCCGCCGTGTGTTCGTTGTCTTCAGGAAAGGCTTTGTTAATATAAGAGCCGTCCCAGAGGAGGTAAAATGGAACCATCAGAAAATATGGAGTTGTAAGAGGAGAGATTTTAGGAGGTGAACTGTTAACATACAGTGCTCTGTTTAAGTCATTGGGCTGGGCTTGAAATTTGCATATGAGAGTTAAAGGGGCTTGGAGTCCTAATTGTTTCATCTAATTCAGGCATTCATAAGCAAAATCAAATCCATAACACTGATTTGGATAAAAACGAGGCATTTAATTTATCTCTGTATGAATAGGATTGATTCTTGTTCTCAGTGCTAATACCTTTGAAATGGTTTATCTCCCTCTAATAGCATTAGAATTTGTTAAGTCCTCAGTATAATCAGCACTGTCCGTGAAATGTGTGGGCCTTACTGGAATTTAGTAATTGCAAGCATTAAAATAGTCTTATAAGAATCGCTATAAAGGGCTGCCATTTGACTTGTTTGGCTTGGCCCCAAAGGGAAGAATATAGAGCAATGATCAAAAGTTTTAAAGAGGCTTTTATCATCTCTGCATAAGCAAAAAGCTCATTAATTAGAGGTGTTTAAGTGGAAAAACTGAATCTTCCAAACAAATGGCCAAGTTCCAGACATTATAGAAAAGGTATAGGTACAGGAATAGGTTGGAGTATCTGACCTCTGAGGTCCCTTGCAACTCAAGTATTAAGTTATTTCTATGTATTAAAAAAACTACATTTGTAGCTGCCTGTACTAATAAAATATATTTATTTTGATCACAAGCAAGAAATTATTTGCTATCAACCCACTCTCCTATTATGGTATGTGAACAATTGATATCACCTCTTACTTAAAACTTATACCCCCTTTTAAGTAATTCCCTAATAAAATATTAAATGATTTCATTAATGTAGAATGTGAGTGAATCACCATTCTGTGGCATCCCATTATTTTATAAATAATAATAATAACCAACATTTATATAGGAATGTAAGGATTGCCAAAAAAAAACTAGATGGATTGATAGATAGATAGATAGATAGATAGATAGATAGATAGATAGATAGATAGATAAATGATATAATAAGGAGAGAGAGTGGAAGTCACAGAAATCAATTCAAGTCAATGAACATTCATAAATACTGATGTGCCCTACCACACTTGGGTAACAGAAAAAAAAAAGATACAATCCATGTCCTCAAGAAATTTACTATAACTATATATAATATACTATATATTATACATATATACTATGCTTACTGTGTCTTTCTATATCTATATAAGGAGATAGAGATGTATGTATATATGTGTAGATACGTATGTGGGTCCCTACAACCCACAGAAACCCTGGGAGTTAGATGTTATTATTACCCTCATTTTGAAAATGAGGAAACTGAGTCAGAACACCTTAAGACTTACCCAGGGTCAAACAGTTACTATGTTTCTGAAGTAGAATTTGGATATAGGTCTTCCTGATTCCAAGTCCATTGCTTTATCCAATATTGCAAAATTTTATTAATGGTTGGTCCATCATCTGTTGATTGCTCACATGTGGATTAACCATTTAATGAATTAATCAGTGGGAAATCAAAATGGCATCTAGCTTTCTACTTTATGGTGTCAGTTCCAGTAAAGTATATATTCTTGGAAACCTTCCTTTCTATTTCCTGCATTCTATGCCTGCCACTGATAGATAACAATAGCAAGCGAGGCAGCAACAAGGAGGTCACTGGTAGGGAGGTATGAAAAGCAATGCAATCCTAGTGAAGTGTCAGTACCAGCTTAACCACGGTTTTCCATCATGTTCGTCTTCCCATGAGAATTTGTGGGTAGTATTGTAGCCTGTCTTGTGGCACAGGACTAGAAATGGTGCCATGAGAAATGGCTCCCCAAAGAAATATGAATCATGTGATTGACAGAAGGTAGAACTATTAATAAGTGTGATTGGATTATAGGATCAAAATATAGGAGGTAAGAGCCAGCGCCCAAGAGGACTAAGGTCTAAGGAACCAAATTCCTGAATATCAAACTAAATACCTGAATGTTTCAAGGTACTGGCGTCAAAAAGAAAGCAAGTACTCAGGGAGCTAAGTTTCATGGGTCCTAAGCAAGGAGATGGAGCCAGAAATGAAAGAGGCCTTGACTGGTTAAATTAGGACCTGATATTGTATAAGCAGTGAATGAAGTCTCCAATATCTATCCCTAGGTTAGATGCCACCTGTTGTTATTAATTATTTTGGCAATGTAAATATCCATTACCTTCCACTTTAATCAATGATTCCAACTCTTCAGCTGATTTGAGATCATGGAGGAGTAATGGTTCATTCTTAAATTGCAAAGGCACCAAGGGGCCTTAAGTGCCTTTGTTCCTCCCATATTGGATTATTCCCACATCTCTGAAGAGTTAATATTAATGTTTGTGGTCATAGTAGAATGTAAATTTCTTGAAGACAAGGACTGTGTCACTAATTTAATTTTTGAAACTCCCCTTGCCCTAGGACACAGTAGTAGACGTTTAAAAATGTTTGTTGAATAAATTGATTTCTGTGACTCCCACATTTCCCCTCACTATTGGACTTCCTTGTAGTAGTAAAAAGCTATTAGTGTGGAGAAGTCAGAAAGATGTCTTCTGATACTCTATAAATACTGAAATCCTTTAATCGATTAATAATCACAGAATTAAGGGATCTCAGAGTTGGATAGACCCTCAGAAGCCATCTGGTCCAACTTGTACCTAAAAAAGACATAATATTTAATATTCATATAACACTTTAAGGCTGGCAGCATCCTTTAAATATATTATTTTGTTTGATATAATTCAAATCAGAATCACAGAACATGTAAGTTTTGAATCTGCTTCATCATACCATCAGCCAACCCATGAGAATAGCAGAAGAAATGGTATCACATGTTTTGCAAAAATGTAGTTAAACTATTTCTACAACATTCTCCTAATATAGTAGTCTAGTAACCATTACAAGAAGGGGAAAAAAAGACTAATCTTACATGAACTGATCATTATGTCTTCATCAAGTAATGCTGACTCTTCATGATCCTTGCTTAATTTAAAGTTGTTTACCAACCATCCCTTTAAAATGCATTCTAGGATTTTATCAGAAATCCAATTGAAACTTATCAGACTATAGCTTACAGATTCCATTCTATCCCATGTTTTTTTTTTTTAAATCAGGACATTTAGCTTTCATTGAATTCTGGTGGAGGGGAAGTGTTCTTTAGCGTTATAAAGAATTTGACATTAAACCAAAATATTTTAACTCCTTCGATTCTTACCCTATCTCCTCTTCTCTTCTCAAACCATACAACATGGAGGTCACTGAATATAAAATCCATTTACTATAAAATCATTTGATCAGGTCAGTGAATTTTATATCTCAGGAGTGTATCCTCAGTATGCCAAATTTTGTAATGATTTTGAGGAATAAAATATTTTGTTTCATAGATAATATACATTTAGGATTTTAAAGATTTTCATTTGGAAAATGATGCTTGTCTCCCACCTGAATTGATAGTGATAAGCACTCTGCAAATAGAGAAAAAGAATAAGTACATTTTTCTTTGGTTTTATCAGTTGCTTGTATTCATTTTTGACATATAAATATTAACAAGTATAGTTTATTTTACCAGATGCATTTGGGGAGGGGAATAATGTTTAAGATGTACAGAGGGAGGATAATGTTTAAGATATACAGAAACCAAGGCCAATAAATTTCTCTAATCTACAAGTGGTAAATACATAAAATTTCACTCTCTAGGAACTCAGATATGGCATGCTATATACTACAGAGTTTGAAGGATAAATTTATATCTAAAAACCATTTCCTCTGAAGGCTAAAAAATGCACCCTAAACACTAATAGCTATTGTAGATAGTCCCATTCCTATAAACAATGATAAGCTTAGTTTCCATGGATTTCATCAACTTTTATGTAGCATTTTCTTTCCTTGTTAAGGGAGTATGAAACCAGAGGATCCAGATCTGATGAAAAGAAGACAGAAGCATAACCAGTTTATACATGCAATTAGAGTTCTAAATGTTTTTCATTTCCTCCTGAGGCAACACATACACACACACATGCACACACACACACACATACATGCAAACAAACACGCTTGCACACACACACACGCACACACGTGCACATACTGGTACTACTAACAGACTGGAGCATCTCACTGAAAGTCTCCAGGGATCCCAGAAATTATTCTGCACTATCCTTAAGAAGTTGAGGAAAAATCCATTAATAATTCCCTCTAGTCATTTCTGCAAAGTCAAACAGATGAGATTAAATTTCTCAGGATAACAGAATCCCCCAAATATGAGTATCAAAAGCTGTTGACAGATCTGATAAAAATTTATGGTTGCTTTAAGCAGTTCAGAATATCTGGAAGAGAACAAGAAGGTCAATATTTAATGTGCCAGTTTGACAAGTGAAAACTAAGGGATAATGGTGGGGATTGTTGTGTCTATCTTTATTATGACTCAGAATTGGTATACACCGATTATTACCACATGGAGAGGATTAGCCCAAGTGCATATCAAGATTCTGTTGTTGTAATTTAAATCTTCTGCTAATATGACAGGAGTCTAGGAGTAGTGCTTTTAGCATTGTCATGAGAAGATGATAGATTTCCAAGATGTCTGATGGGATGCAAGACTAGGTTGCCCATCAAGTTACAAGAATCATCAAAAGGTGACTTTAATGATCTTAACTTTCCAAGTCATATTAGCTACTGTGCTCGACAAGGGTGTTTCTAAGTAAAAAAGACAAAGTTCCCCTGCTTTATACATTGAACAGGTTACGAAATGCCTGATCTCTTTGCTAAGACTTGTTCATCTCTTCCTGTGGCATCAAACCAACATATTTCCATGCCATTGAATGAACCGTTTAATATAGTATTCAAGTAATAGATAATATTTTTGGTTATTTGTATGCTCACAGTCATATGCAATAGCTTCTAAGTTTCTCTTTGCTTGCTTATGATTCTAAATGATGACTTTTAGCCAGGATATACTTAAATATTTAAATGAACATTCTCTGAT